CTTCCAAGCGAGGCAACGCCGCACAGTGGATCTAGTGAGTTGGAGAGGTAGGACAAAATTTGGATACTTTAAGAGCTTGTAACTCCGTTACATCAAAACTTTGAGATTTTAAAAATGGTTCTATTGCAGGGTGTCTACTAAAACGGGCTGGCCAAACATCAGTGCTTTTACAGTACTTTATTCGTACATACCCAAGAAATTCAGTACCTTCTCAACAGAAAAATTCAGTACTTTTTCAATACCTTCAACTAACGATATTCAAAAAATGTAAAAAATTTGAATTTCCCGCTCAAATTGCGACAAAAATAAAACAATCCGGAATTTCTTGCAAAAATTCCGCACTTTCTCAGTACTTCCGAACCGCCATTGAAAAATCAGTACTTTTTCCGGACTTTCCGAACTTATATACACCCTGCATTGGTTTTCGCAAGAAATTTTCTTCTAGAAACACTCCTCACAATATTAATTGAAATGTGACGAATTAAACATCAAAATTTGCGGTTTTAGTAAAAAATTTAATGTCCGATCTCGCTGACTGATTCGATCCCTGTGCGCCGAGGGTTGAAGGTCGACGCAAGCGCCAGCGCCAGCGCCAGCGGGGGCCGTGGAGGGAAACTCGGGGAGAAATCTTGAGGGAAGGGCGAAGACGGAGGAGGCATGTTTCAGTGGCTGAATGAACCAGCAGGGATCCCGCCCTGGGGAGTGGGGATTAGAACTGGACTTATTTTCTAATTACCGGCCTTGAACGACAAAACGCTCCAGCCAAGATTCTCCTTTCACTCGCCCGTCATCATAACCTCCTGATCGGGGGATTAATGGGTCAAAGGCCCGGCAACGGTCGGGTCCTTACCCGGGCCGAGAGACAGAATATCGATGGCATTTTTACATTTTGCATCGCTGGAAAGAAGAAACTACTGCTCCTTCCTTTCGTTTCTTTGGAGGAAAACACGGCCAAGTTGGCTTCTTTATTTTCGAAGCAATAAAATAGGAGCGGGAATTTTGAAATACCGCAATGGAGATACGTGGTTTCGCACGTTGGCCATTGATGTATTGATAATACCTTTAGGCCTCCAGCGACCGCTTGAAATGAGCGTATGGAAGCAGCGTTTACGTGCATGTCTACATGAACCGTAAGTGCGGCTTTCACGGCCGAAACTTCTTTGCTGTGTACGATTGCGCTTCCCAAGACTGAAGCATTTGGTAAAATTTGTGTTTGCTGGTTATTTTGGAAGCCTTAACCCTAGGGAATGGAGAATTTGCACGCATATTTTTTATTGTTTCGTCTGAAAGTGCTTAAAGAGTTGATTTCACAGTATTCTTTATAGTTTTTTTCTGAGACGGGAAATAGTATAAAGATAGATTTAAAAGAGAGAAAATACACCGCCAAGTGATGTCATCTGGCGACATTTCCCATTTAAACACACGTATCTTAGCAGATTAGATTCTGACATATCTGACATTTTGTCATATCTTCTGCAATAATTGTTCAATTCATGAACCAAGGGTATCCTTGTTCTCAGTTCACTTAGTATTTTCCACTTGAGCACGAGATTCATCAAATTTCAGACACCTGCAAATTCTCTAATGTCCTCCTCAGATGACCATGCAAGCGTAAGACACAGATTCAAACTATATACTCATTGCAAGAGGTAATTCAATCAAAAGACAGTTAAACTTAGGTGGCTAGTGCCGCGGAGAGCTTGTAGGAACAAACGAGGCTCTGGTGCGCGCAATAAATCAAGCCGCAGGCAGGAGACGAGCAAGGAAAAAATCACGGAATAATTGCTCGTGAGCAACTGGGATGTGAGGAATAAACACAGTTCCAAGGAGTAATAATAATCATCAATAATAATAACAACAATAATAAGCGGAGCCACGCTACGACTCCGCATCGGGGGCGATTAAACGGGCAGGTAGTGATCGTGGCCCGCTCCCGCCGACCGTTGCCTCGTCGGGCACTCAAAAGCCCCGTTTCCACCATCAAAATCAACCGCTCTAAACGGGACATCGCTGCAATTGTTAGATGTTGCACATCGAAATTAAATGGAGCGCGTTAAGGCCTGCATACACGCTCAAACCATCAATTTCCGATCAAATGGTGACTGGTGCGCACCATCTACCATCAAATTTTTGCGGCCTGCAAAAATTTGACCGCCATTTTTGTCATCATTTTGATCGGAAATCGACGGAAATTTGAGCGTGTATACAGGCCTTTATAGGGAGAGTATGGACAACTCGAAAATTTGGAGGTTAGGTTCAGTGGCGTGGCGTGCTCTGCGATATATCGATCGATCTGCCATATAAAGCAATGAAAAAAGATCTATAGTCAGGGCGTTCACAACGAATACCGTAATAATCGATTGTTTCCCACAGCTTCAAAGTGGATAATATCGATAGTCGAATATCACGCGTCGCCAATGACTTCTCTTAATATTGATGGGCAAAGTCGCATAGATGTCTCATTTTGATTAGGGAACTGCTAAAGTTATTTTATTTAACTAATCCAGTATCGGCAGCGTCATTTGGGGAGGGGAAAATTTGACCAAGATTTGTCCGATTGTGAAATGTTGTTGAAAAAATAAAATACAGCGATAAAAGAAAAATTGGCAACGTTACCTAGCACTCGTCGATAATTAACGCCTCAACCACGCCACTACTTGTTTACATTTCGATGGTGCAACGATGGAATTACATGCCCTGATTTGTAACGTTGCGACTTTGACATTTTGCATCAGGCGAACAGTAGCACATCTTACCAGATAAATGTTCCGAAATCGTCACAAATTCAGTTTCATTGAGACATAAATAGGCATTTTCGGGATAAAATATGGTGCAGTTAAAGGAATAAGCATCGAATGCAAAATGGGAAGTAAACGTGTTTACGCAAGGATTTAAGGGGGTGGGGGAGAGTTAAAATAATAATTGGCGGGGAAACACGTATTTTGAATTTGGGAGAAAAATACAAAATACAAAGAAAAAAAAGAGATTAATAGGTGAGCTATGTAAGATAAGAAAAATAAATACGTGCTTCAATAGTGTAAAACCCCCGTCCTCCCCTCGCCCACAGAAAAAACTTCAGCTTCTGTGTGATTGAGGGCTGTATTGCTACAGAGCCCATCCAACATGGCAGCAACGTAAACCTAGCTGATTCCGATACGAGAGCGGGAGGGAGGGGGGTGTTGGAGTGAGGAGGGGTGGAAGGAAGTCAATTAGAAAATAAATAGCACGGAATTAAGCGGTAAAGACGAAATAACAGGTTGAGCTAAGCGGTTGGCGAGCACTGGACTCAGGATTATAGTGATTCCACGATGATATCCACTCAAGTGGGTGATTGACGGCTCCTTGCCAGGTTCCCCGGGGGAGGGCGGGGTGGGTGGGAGCAAACGTAATCATAACTATTAATGTGTCTCTCTATGAGCAGTTTTTATCTTCCCACTTGCCAGCATCCGAGACGAGGACCGCATAACACACACGAGCCTCTCGTCCGACGTGTTATACACCTCTTCGGCTTTTCGGCTCATTAGAATATTCTTCACCGCACTCCTTCATGACTCCTCCGAGTTCCCTTCCACTTCGGCTTTCAAAGATAACTTTCAAGTACTCGGGACTTATGGAAATACCACCTCACAAATGGGTAGTGCTCAGCAAAAGCAGGGAAGCAAGTTATATTTTTGATAACAAAAATTGTTTAAGAATTGTCTAGAGATCGCCCTGCTGAATCATATTTTCTCTAGCCAAAAGTCTAATGTCTGCAGACAAATAATCATGAATAAAAAGTTGACTTTTTGTTTTTTCACGTCAAGCCTTATGCTGGGATGAACATTTAATCAATAGTGCCGATCCAGTCTGCCGCAAAGACGTGGGACTGCCACGGAAGACTCGAGTTAGGTTAGCTTGGGTCACGCAACTAAATCAACTTCGCGGTAACGCGGGAGGTGTCGCGCGGAAATGAAGGCGCGTCACTGGTAGATTGCGCTGATTTCCTAGGAAGCTGCAACTGACGGAGAGTTTCAGGTTTCGCTCCTTTTCTCTTTGGTTAACTGTCTACTGTGTACGAACAGCAAATCGATGGCAGCAGTCGAATAATGCACAAACTCGATTCGACGTCGCAAATCTCTACTCATGTTTTATTTTTTTGAAATAAAAACACAGCAGTTAAGTATCGAAGGGGGGAGGCCATTTATGGTTGAAGCAGTGTTTTTTACACTGTCCTCACCGCGATAGCTGCATTGCCAACTAAAACATGCTCTTCTCAATACAATAATCTCAGTTATCATTCCAGTCATTCATTTCAGGAACTAAAAAACTTTCTGATCCTTGGAGTTGAAAAATAGGTTAAACGCAGAAACAAAAAGCCCGCCATTACATAGTATCTTGATAGTCGTGGAAGCTTTTATTTTCAAGACTCCAAAATTCAACTGTTGACTGTACCAGGTAACTGGTAACTGTTGTTAAGCCTTGTGCTAGGATGAAGCTTCGTTAAATAATGCCGATCTAATTCCAGTCTGCCGCAGAGGCGTGGGACTGCCTCGGAAGACTTGAGTTAGGTTAGCTTGGGTCACGCAACTAAATCAACTTCGCGGTAATGCGGGAGGTATCGCACAGAGACGAAGGCGCGTCACTGGTAGATCGCGCCTAACTATTTCCTGTTCATATTTTTCAGTGATTTTGTAGGTAAGTGACCACACTTACCTATAAGGTGGATGCTGAACAACGTTTTGGGTATGTCGTTTTGCGAACATACCGAAGTTCGGAAAACTTGTTCGGTTCATTACGTCACTCGGAGCTCATCATCCACCTAATAGGTAGGTCAGCAGCCGAAAAAAGATTCATGACTGTCGCTCCTTTTATAATTTTCCATGAGGAAGTGTTGCATCCCCGAAAGCATAAGTTTTCACCTGTCACAATGAGGCCATTGGAGCTTCTCTTGTCTGTGGTTAAACGCCTGAAAACCTAATGAAAAGATGAGGAAAAAAGGGTGAATGAAAATGAGGACGTACCTGTTCATATTTTTCAAGTTCTTGGTGGTAAATTTGTCGAATCTGAGCTAGTTTGGCGCGGTAATCCGAATGTTCTATGGCGTTGTCGGGCTGACCGGGGCCGCCCGAAGCGGCCGCCGAGGCACTCGCGGCAGCGCTGGCGCCACCCCCTTTCTCCGGACCTGCCACCCCCTCTGCTATCAGCATATTGTCTAACCTCATCAACTGAGGATCTGGAGGCTCTTCCTCTTGTGTGTTCCGTAAACTCAAAACTGAAACAGATAAAACACACGTTTCGTTAATTTAAAAAATCATGCAAATGAAACACTTTTGGGGTCTTTTGGGGGATTTTGAACATAAAATTCCCCATCTTTTCCCTGATTTTTTCACGTTTTACACTTTCAAACTGTCCAAGAAAAATTTTACGCGTGATGTCTGTAAAAATTTAAAAAATGTAATAAGTCGGCTGGAGGACAATATTCAGCGCAGCCACAGAATTTAAAAAATGAATTTCGCTAATTTCCCTTACATATTTCGGTAAATTCCCTGACAACGAAAGTTATGTCAGATGGTCAAAAAGACATAGTTAGGCAAAATGTGTTGTTCGAAAAGTCAAACACATTCTAGAAACCAAATAAAGATGTCTTGAAAATTTTTCCCTGACACTTCCAGGTTTTCCCTGCCTTCTTTAAAATTCCCTGACATTTCCCAGTATTCCCTGACTGTGACAACACTGAAATTGTCTTTTCACCGATTTTGAACACTACGAATACCCCAAATGTCCCCTGATTTTTTTTTTATGTTTTTCTCTTTCAAACTGTCCCAGGAAAATTTTACGCGGGAAGTCTGAAATTTTTTTTAAAAAAATGTAATATTTCGGCTGGAAGACAACATTTCAAGGGTTCGCGCCCAAATTCTCTCCCTTTAATCTCCCAAGTTCTCTCCTACTCGGTAAGAACTTGCGACCCCTTCTTGGACACTCACCTCGATCCCGGAGTGGCATCATCGACGGGCGCAGCGTCGGCCGCGTGCTTTGCGATATATCGATTGATACGCCACTCGAAGCTACGAAAAAAGATCGATTATCAGGGCGTTCGCAGCGAACACCTTAGTAATCGATTCTTGACCATATCTTCAAACGGCGAGGTATCGATAATCGATCATTCAGCGGTCGTCGGCAACGCTGTTGCAATGGCGGCGGGCAGCGAGTAACAAGTGGTGTCGAGGCGTCAAGACATAAATCAAGGCGCACCAAATTACACGCAGGGACAGAGGGACCCGGACCCAGCCCCCCCCCCCCCCCCCCCCCCCCNTCGCCAGCTCCTAGGATCCCTTTCGCCGGGCCCGGGCGCGAGTGTGTCTGCGTCCGTCCTTCACACCGTGTAATTAATGCTGTACTACGTTCGGCGTTCGCGCCTCCGGGGACCGCCCCTTCCGAATCCGATCCGTCCCGTTCGCCGCGTTTCCGCCGGCGTTACGCGTTATTATGCGTTACGCGTTACGGTCGTTACCGATGAGTAATCCTACTTCACGGTAGTTCGATCGAACGCACCGAGGAAAAAGATAAATTCGTCCGACCTGAAATTTCGACGCTATCAGGGTGTCTACTAAAATAGGCTGGCCAAAAATCAGTACTTTCACGGTGCTTTTTCAGTACATTTCCAAGAAATTCAGGACCTCCTCAACAGAAAAATTCAGTACTTTTTCAGTGCCTTCAATTAACGAAATTCGTAAAATTTCAAAAATTTGAATTTCTTGTTCAAATTGCGACAACGCTACAATGGTGGCATTATACCAGCCTAAATGGAAGGAATAGGGCAGTGATTCAGGTCAGTGCTGCCATTTCTTGGAATTGATTCCAGCTTCTTTCGGAATTTCAGGGGTTTTCGTTAGTTTGATAAATTATTTGATCAGATTAATGATTTTTTCCCGAATTTGACGGTCCTCAGAACGAAATCCGGTCGTATCTCGGAATTTTTTCCCGGAACTTTTGACGATATCTAAATTTTTCCCGAAACTTTTGGAAATCGGTATTAATTCCGAGAACCCCGGAATCTTCGGTAAAATAGTGCTGCCATTCTTGAAATTGATTTCAAATTTCGGAGCCATTGCAATTTCTCGGAATCTTCGGAGTTTCCCAAATATCCAGCTTCTTTCGGAATTTCAGGGGTTTTCGTCAGTTTGACAAATTATTTGATCAAATGGCATTTGAGTGAGCGGCAGCGCTGATTCACGTGGAAGCGGAATACCTGACACGGGGCGGCGTGCGTACGCATGAATGAAAGTGTTTTCCTCTCGGGGTAATTTTTCCTGGCGGGTGACGCGGGACGGGGACGCGGGCGCGGGCGAAGACCCCGGGCTTGGGCCCGAGTAAAAATGACAAATGGTCGCCGAGCATCGAGCGTTTCCGCGGGAGGATCGGCTTAACCTTGGGGGTCCCGGCTCCCTGGCATCCCCGACCGGCCCGGGCCCGGCTAAATGGAGATTAATTGGCATCCTTCTCGAGGGTAGCTCCTCTTGCCCCACCCCCACCCGCCGACACCTTGCCCTTGCCCTTGCCTACTTTTCAATTCCCCCGTGGAACTTTCAGGGTGCATCAACGTGATCAAGTTCCACGGAGATACAGTGCGTCATCACCATCCCTACCTAGGTATTATTTGTCTGCTTAGATTTTTCTACTGATGGTTTTTGGGAAAATACTCTGGTAGTAGGATGTTAGGACCCCGTTGCCCACGCCCTTAGCGGATATATCCTTGGAACTTTTTCCCGTGATTAAGCCACATATCGTCGCTCCTCTGACGCAAGGGCGTATCTCGATTTTCACGTGAACCCTGTTGTCTATATAACTCTATGCTTTCCAGGGCTTATGTCATAATCGAGATACGCCCTTACGTCAGAGGAGCGACGATGTAAACAAACTGGGTATCATAAAAAACAAATGCCTGTAAATGAAAGTAAACTGATTGCAAAGAAACTATAGAATTATTAATATAATTAAAACCTTAAAAAAAAACTTAAACGTTTTTACTTTACATTGGCTACTAGACAGTAGAATTGCCCGGTCACAGGAAACGAAATACTCTACGTGAGGCGAATCGCACCTTACAACGGTTTTGGCAGGCTCCTCTATCGAGCATTGTTCCTTTCTCCCGCTTTACTGTTCAACGTGTTAACAATTTGCTGTAGCCAAGCGAAAGCGTCAAGATTAGGGAGAGAGAAGGTTAAAGATCAAGGGTGAAAAAAAACTCAGCTTCCACAATTGTTAAGACACTCCCACAATTTGGTCGCGAACAATGAAGAATTTGCGTACAAAAATTGTATTGCTTCATCTGAGAGTGCTTAATGAGCTGAGTTCGCAGTATTTTTCATAATTTTTTTCTGAAGTGGAACATCGGAGGAAAATACATTTAAAAGTGAGAAAATATACTGCCATATGACGTCATCTGACGACATTTTCCATTTAAACCCTGGCAAAGTTATTCTGGCATATTTCTTCCAATAATTGTTCAATTCAGAAACCAAGGATATCCTCTTGCTCAGTTCTCTTAACACTTCCATTTTAAACATGGAATTTACAAAATTTCAGACACTTGCAAATTCTCCATTGGCACACCTAGGTAGAACACTGACATAAACGGACGGCACTGATGAGTTCCCCAAATTGATGACTAATGATTTTTCCTTGGATTCTCCAGGAGCATCCAAACGTGCCGGGCGGTTTAAGATCCCGATTTCCGCGGTGCGTCGCCGAAATTTTCCCGTTCCCTCGAATTTCCCGGGAATCCACCCGATGCGACGCTGGCAACATCGAGAGCTTTGCCGGCCCGAATCCGGGCCCGTTCCGTCTCTCCGGTCGCCACGTTTGTATTTTCAACCCTCAACCCTCCACCCTCCACCCCCCACCCCTTTAATGGGTTCTCCACTCTGTGAAAAACATTAATTACAATTGTTTGTTTGGAATAGATTCTACGTTCAGCGTCCCGCCTCTGCTTTCCGCGCTATCCCGCTTCTCTCGGATTCCGTCGCCATCACCGGCTTTCTTTCACTTTTCCGTCGTTTCTTTTGGATGCGCAGAAAAGCGCTATGTATGCTCTGCCGTGCTAAGGAAGAACGCCGTATGAACATTCGAGAGTTACCAAATTTCCTCCGATAAAATGTTTATTTTTGAGGCAAGTTATAAATACTTTTCCTTGAAATTTTCAGGAACTTCAGGTGAAATTGCGAACAAAATTATTCTAAAAATTGGGAGGAAAGTATTCATAAGTTCGCTTGAAAATTCGTGTTTTATCAAAGGAAATTTGGCAACGCCTGAAGGCTCATACGGCGCTTTTCTTTAGCACGGCAGTGCTGCCCGGTGGCGTAGCGTGAGTCTCGGAGAGAAATAAAATTCCTGTAAGTGATTCGTCGAGCTGAAATGTGATGAATCGCATCAATTATGTACAAAATATTGTCATATTTTAAATTTTTAGCCAAAAAAGGACGACAGCCCTTACGCATGAGACTGAAGAAGCACACCAAAAAGTTGGCAAAATCTGGAAAAATGAGAGCAGAATCCTGTTTGGAAAAAAACCTCGTATTCGATACAATGATCGATTTCTGTATCAAATGAGCTTCATTTAGACCTCTTTTGGGCTAAAAATTCAAAATCTGCCGAGACTTTTGACGTACTTGATGCGATGTATCGAACACGCCAATTCGACCACGTGGCGAGTCACCTTACCTTCCGTGACTCACATCCAACTTAACGAGAATAGGACGTATTTATACGAAAGGGAACTAAGCGCCAAATTTCCAAATTTAAGTTTTTAACGGATCTGGATTCTCCATGTAATAGGCTGCTCTCACACGTAAATATGCCCCCAAAATACTAATTTCATCCCCTGGAATCAGCCCCTGAAAAATCGCAAAACAGGGAATCAGCGATTACGAATAAAATCAAAAGGAACTATATGTAATTCCCTTTGATTTAATGCGCTAACCCGGATTCCGAATTAAATCAAAAGGCGCTATCTCCACTTGNTATATCTCGCTTAATATGCATTTTTTCCTAATTTTGGCAACGTACGTAATTAGAGGAACTCTTTAGCTTTCAAACACGCTAAAGTAAACCAAAATCGGTCCATTAGTACGGAAACGCCAATTGTTTTAGTCAAACTTGCTTTACTGAGAAGTTTGGAAATGGCGTTTAGCGCCTTTTCACATAAATACGTCCAATAGGTTTCCCTCCTGCTGAAGTTTCGCCCTTATTTTAGCGTAGATTTAAACATGCCGG